GGCGTATTCCAAAAAAACTCCATGTTGATCAAGGCAAAGAGTTTTACAATAAAAATTTTCAAGCTCTCAGGCGGGAGCATAAGATACATATGTACTCAACCTTCAGCAGCCTCAAGGCATCGATAAGCGAACGCTTCAATAGAACATAAAAAAATAAAATGTGGAAACAATTCTCAATTCGTGGAACGTAGAAATGGATTGATACGGTTGGTGATTTAGTTGCAGGCTATAATAACACGAAACATCGTACAATAAAAATGAAGCCTAAAGATGTTACATCCAAGAATGAAAAATCGTTGCTGAAATCAATTTGTGGAAATGTACGAAAGGATAAGAAGGGGAAAATTAAATTCAAAGTGGGTAATAAAGTGCGAATCAGCAAGTATAAAACTGTTTTCGAAAAAGGCTATAACCCCAACTGGACAACTGAAATATTTACAATTAAAAAAGTGCAAAATACCACTCCCGTAACATATAAGCTGGTTGATGGAAAAGAAGATGCAATTGAAGGTGGCTTCTACCAAGAGGAGTTGAGTCACGTCATGTATCCAGATGTGTTTCTCGTTGAGAAGGTGCTGAAGATGCGGGGGAAGAAGGAATATGTCAAGTGGCTGAGATTTGATAAAACTCACAACAGTTGTATAGACTCTAATCAAATGTAATTTTAAAGAAAAACCTTATTTGGAAAATATTTGTGTCTTTTATTCATTGTAACCATAAGGTAGAGTGTCTGTTGAATCAAGTAAAACAATTCCCTTATCATCATCATAACTCAGTGCTAATTTGTTCTGTTTCACCATGTAAACTTGATGTTTTTTACTTTGAATCTAATATTGTGATTTCACCAGTTTCTTCTGCTGAAAGTGACAGTTTTTATAGTCTTCAAAGGTAATTGTTCTCAGTGTTGCCCCTCTCATACCCTTGGCGCGTTTTTTCTCACGCGCATCACCCAACACTTTGTAAGTATACAGCTTAGCACGCAGGCCCACAAAATCAGTCATAATTTTACCATTACATTCATCCTTCATTAAACCTATCATTTTTTTATTCACTCTTGGTATTTGATAAACATTCTCTGGGTATTTGATAAACATTCTCTCATTCGCTGGGTAGTCGGAAGTGTCAAATTTCGAAATATCTCTTTTGATGAAGTCATAAATGTCGGGAATATTGAACTGATACAGAAGGCTGTCTGTGTCTATGTACATTAATTTAGATCGCTCTCCAAATCCATGTTTCACATAATTATAGTGGAAATCGTAGATGTAAATTTTTGACAAGTCCAAAATGGCGAATCGAATGTAGATTGGTTTATTGAATATATTTTGAACTCTTTTCAGCTCAATGATCGTCATATTATCGTCAAAAATTAGACTACTGTGGAAAATTTGGTTGGGCAATGTAGGCTCTCGCGCCATATCTTCCATCCCACTTGGTGATCAACTTGACATCTCTGTGCTTTCTCACATTTTCTATCGTGTTCCAACAACTGCGTTGTTCATTAGCTTAAAAAAATTCTTTTCAAATTCATTTGTCGATTTTGTTCGCATCTCTGTATTTAAGTCGATGTAGGGCTTGCTGCTGGCTTGAATTTCAAGATTCGGTGGATTTTCGTTCGCATACCAAGACTCAAACATTGCTTCAAATTCCGATAATGAATTATATCGTAGTCTTTTATGTCTTTTTGTCGTAATTATGTCTTTTTTATCGTAGAGTGTCATGAGCTTGGTATTCTTGCGATTCGGTTGAATAAAATGCTCAGGACATAGCGACAAGTCCTTGTCTACATAATGTAGCTCTTTAGGATATTCCAAATCCACTTCTAAGATATATCCAACGGGTGAATCATCGGGAACATTGAAGATATTGAATCCTTCGACATTTTCTCATTCAAAGGCACCAAAGGGCAAGTACTGACTCATGGCTGCCCTATATAAATTTGTTGACATCAAAGTACATGAGATAGGACTCCTCTTCGTTTGGATCATAATTCTCACCCATATACCGATTGTTGGCATGACCATAGCGATTTGTACATTGAGCTACACCACCTCGGATCCCCTTTTCAATGAATAAGAGCTTATCAGCGTCTGTAAAAAGTTCGATTTCCACTCTGGTACATTTTAGCATTGCATCGAATGCCAATCCAGGTGCGGTGTAGTAGTGCAGTGGGTCCAGTTTGTAGACTGAGAAACAACTTTTTCCGAAATTTTCAAAAATGTCAGCTAAGAGGAGAACATGAGCTTTTAAGTAGAGGTCGGAATATTCACTAAGTGTTGTAATATTAAATTAATGCCATCGGTGCCCGTAATCACGCGATTCTAACCTCGCTTCGCTCGGTTAAATCGCGGATTCCGGGCGCAATGCTATAAAATTTTGTATGAAACGCGTGCGTAATATATTTTTCGACTCGTGGGATTGTAAAACTCGCCTTCGGCTCGTGTTACAAACCTCCTACGAGTCAAAAAATATATTCCACACGTGTTGCATAATATACTATTTTTCCAAACTTCCTGCGCATGAGCATAATCTTCCGCTGAAATTTCTTGATTGTTTAGTGTGGAATAAAAAGCCGCCCTCGATGGTAATTCTCCATCATTCAATCTATCCCAATTATCCAAATATTCATATGGGAATACACCTTTACGCATATTAATAAATGGAATTGCTCAGCGTTGCAATGAGCTCGTGTAATTGACTTGTCTCCATCAGTCAAGTAGGAGGCCAATTTTTCCAGGCTACTAGCCATAAATCTAAATGAATCAATAAATCTTAAGTTGACTTTTGTTTGTGGAATAGATTTCTTGAATGAAATGTACTTTTCCTTTGTTAGAGGCAGCAATTCGACAGATCCATTGAACTCCTTCACCAAGTCCACAATTATGAAATGAGGATCATACGCCGACAGATTGTGAAAAATCACTGGTATTTCATGTGAATTTTTATAGTTTACATTGCATCCAGCGTGCGCAACTCCACGATATTTACCCGTGAAATGGCAATGATCTCGATGTTTAATATCTGTCAAAATGAATATATGACACACTCGGGCTGCTGAGAATTCTTGGGACTGTGCGTACGTGAGCGGCTCCATTGGAACAATTGTTTTTAGTTTATCATTCACCATCACTCCGATTTTCTTTAATTCATCCATGAACCACGCAATACAATCCCTCTCACGTTTAATGTCAAAGCGCGATAAATTATTATCAAAGGAACACTGCAAGTAAAAGGCGACACTGTATGGAATATGTTTTTGATGTCATCTAGCATCATCACCATCATCACTGGGTCGTAGAATACACTCGAGATCAGCGTAAATCGTGAATGGTACAGCCTTATATCTGTGATTTTTGAATTTCAAGATTTTCATCTCCTCTGATGGTAAAACCATTTTGCATTTATTGATAATGAAACAATCCTGTCTATGGCTCTCATAATTTTTTTCCGTGTGAAAATGACACAAACACCGATCACAAAGCCACATACGGTGTTCAAAACAGGAGATTTACGCGCTCACAAGTCTTGAACGATCTCTTATCCATGCGAAGTCGTAAATTGGTTGAACGTCAGCGGCAACATACACATTCGAACAAAAGAGAAGTAAATGAATTGTAGGTATGCGCGAGTTCATCTTGCTGAGGTAGAAAGGGACAATTTCGTTCTCACTGTTCACCCCACATTCAATTCCATAAACATTAATTGAGAGGTCATTCATTTTCTCAAATTTTGGAATATCACTCAAGGTCATGGGGAAGCGAATGTTTGCATAATCAATTAGCTTTTGACTATGTGGAAGAGTTGCTGTGGTATAATCGGGATATGATGAAGTAGCACATCGATGCGTCTTTACAGGATAGACAGCAGCAATAACTGACCACAAAAAACAAAATTCATCCGAATTTTTGACATTGACAACAGCTTTTTTACATTGAATATCATAGGGCAACTGGACGTACGTTGAAGAGCCACCCTCCAGTGGAACATATCGGTTCATATTGACCATCAAATTTATAATTTCACTCAATTCCTATCCTGAATCACGTTGTTGGAAATCACCGATTTTCGTGAGCAATGGCTCACTCACATTGTCATCAAACCATGTTGCCAGATCTGTAGCTGGTAGAATGATTTCATTTTTTGTATTGAAATATTTAACTTCACTAGTAATCACTTCGTCCTTTTTCAATGTAAATTTGCACGCTAAAATAGCATTTGCCTTTATATTGCCATTTTTTTTGCGAACACTTCTCAAATGTGGTGTTGACAGTTGTTTTGCATCATTGAGAAAGGAAGCTGGATCTTTATGTTGGAGATTGATTACAATGCCCGTGCGAATACGACTGTGAAAAGCTGATGGTCCATCTCTCAAGCGTACACGATCTGCAAGCGCTTCTTCTTCTCTGCTATGCGATGGCACCTGCACACGACCACCTCGATGTTGTCTATTTGTGAATCCCTCTTGATAACCCTGGATTCGAGTAATGGTAGAGAGAATTTTATTTTTCTCACCAACCGATAGTTGATTCCGTCTTTTCAAAACTCGAGTATAAAGTTTAATATAGTAAGCACATCGATCAATCCATTGTTGAATGTCTTGAGATTGTGCATTTTGATAGGCATGTTGGAAAATTTCAATTATTCTGGAACAGCACACAATACTGCTACGTTCCATCTTGACATAAGACTAACAACCCCTAGGAAAATTCAGATCAATTTATATCATTGCTTGTTAGAGTTTCAATGAGTCTTAAACTTTCAGTTGCTTCGATTAATTGCCATTTCTTCATGAATTTCTCAGAAGTCTACAGACAGTTCAGTTTCTGCAAAAAATTTGACCATTCGATCCATTCATCAACATTTCTTAGAATTATGAAAGCCGTTATCTTTCGAGGAAAAATTTAACTGTTGGATGCAGATTGCCTGATTTTCTTGGAATTGTTTTGCGATTAAAATTATAAATGAAAATTGCATTCCCCCTCCACTTGCGAAGAACCTATAAGTAGCTGGAATAAAGCAACTGATTCATCATACGCCTTCCAACAGGATCGAACCAAGGTAGAGAAATACCGTGAGGCTGCTGCTACTGAACGTTTGGAGATCACTTTCCTGGACGGCGAGTTCAACCCATACCTCTTCAGCAATGTCTATCAGTAATAAAAACAGTGAATATTCAATCTACAACATTGGAAAATACCCTGACTAAAATAGAGGGTTTAATAAATGATGATGATGATAACCTATGATTTTTTTATTTTTGCATTTAACTACATTTAGCGATACTGATCAATAATAGTCTATAATTTATGCAAAATTCCATTTTTTTTTCTCCAAAAATCTCAACGGCGATATCTATGTAATTATTTAGTTTACGACCTCGATAGACTATGTTATCTTTTGCTATCAAATTTGTGTTGCGGGAACCACTCGAACGGGTATAGAAAAATGAAAAAAGCGTGATATTGAGAGAAAGGTGGCTACCAAGATTACAAAAATAATGAAAAGATAGGCAGCTTAGCATCTTTCACTCAATCTCCTGAAGAGCAGGGGTAAACTATGAATTTTTCATTATTTTCGTAATCTTGATAGATACCTTTCAATCAAAAAAAAATCGGTCTTTCATACTTTTCTATATCCGCTCGAGTGGTTCTCACAACTCAAATGGCAATCTACCTTTCAAAAGATTAAATTCAAATGAAAGAGAGTCCATCCGGATCCTAATAGAAGCTTATTTAGAAAGGTAAGGATAACAGAGAAACGCATATTGTTAATTTTAATGATAAAAATTTATTCTAAAGAAACTTATTTTAGTTATAAAGAAACTTATTCACAAAAACTTAATCTGGTTACAAGACTTAATCTAGTTACAAAACTTAATCTAATTACATAAACTTAATCTAGTTACAAAAACTTAATCTAATAAAAAAGAAAAAGCGACGTGTCCCGGAGATTGCCGCATCTGAAAAATACAGAATAGATTTTATTAATTCAACTATGAAGAATGGTGGAGAATGAATCTTACTTACTTCACTTGTCATAGTGATTCTGCGCGTCAAGTACCATCACGGCGGCCGCCGCGATGCCCTACGCGTGGGGCAGCATCTCCATGGCCTCGATTTCACGGCCCACCAGGAGCAAGAAGTTGAGGAACTTCCTCATCTCCTGGTGCAGCTGCTATTCCTGTTAACAGAAAAATTAATAATATATATGTATTAAGTCCAGAAGGAGGAGCAAGACATTATAATTGATTGTTAGCAATTTACCTTCCCCACTCTTTCGCTATCTTTCTCCGTCACTCAAGCGTCTGAGCCGCCAAGAGTTGCCTGTCTCACTCTAGGTGTCTGGCGCGTAAACTCTAAATGTTTACATCTGGTGGATGGTTAAGAATGGAGCATTGACAGAGATTTCAAGTGGAGAAAATATTCTTTATTATATATGCGTAGTTATTTTTACGGAATAATATTACAGAGTTTTCAAAGCATAGATTATTACAATAATATTTTCCATTTTTTTTTTTAGTTGAACATTCAAATTTTATCAATTAAAAAAAAATAATAGAACGCAAGTAATAAAATTTTTCATTGTTTAGTTGTCAGATTGTAGAAGACACTTTTTCAAAATCAATCTCCCCCGGACATTACAACTGAAATAGACAAAAAACGAACGAAATTAGTAATTGAGTTAGCAGATTGATAAGATGGTAGAATTTTGTTATTAAGTTACCTCTGGATAGATTTTAATATTGGTTAATAATCGTTTGGGATGTGTAAATGATCCCATTGGTCGAAAGTAAATATTTCCATGAGGACAGAAGATCAGCTTGGCTCGAACATCTCCCATTGTCACAAAAGTTCCACCAACTTGATAATGGCGATTAATGATTTCTCTCCGCTTTTTCTTCATAGCCCTTTCCGGCATCACACCTTCCCATTCTTCGGGTATGAAAATTCGAATAGGTTCCGCTTCGTCTGCTGGTGGGCAAACAACTTCCCCCACTCGAACAAATGGTTCTGTGTCATTCGCTGAGATAGGTGGTGTTGCAGCCCCAACATTCGCTAGAATCACTGGTGCTACCTCTGATATAGTAGAGTCAGGTGGATCCATCTCCATTGAATGAGAGTCCTCAGGTGCTGCGCTCTCCAGAGACTCTGGATCTGGGCTTGCTGGAGAGTCTACAAGTCCTTTCTCCTCGGGTGCTGAGCTCTCTGGAGACTCGTGATCCGGGCTTGCGGGAAAGTCTACAATCCCCTTCTTCCCAGCCGCTGAACCCTCTGGAGCCTCGAGGTCCGGGCTTGCTGGAGATTCTACAATCCCCTTCTCCACAGCCGCTGGGCTCTCTGGAGACTCGAAGTCCGGGCTTGCTGGAGAGTCTACAATTCCCTTCTCCACGTTTCACTGACATCAGGTGAGATGGTGTCGGTATCTAATGGGGTAGAAGCATCCCAAGTATCATCATCATCATCACTGTCAGTAACGTTTCCAATCTCTGACTTTCCATCTGACGAACTGATCGACTCAATTGCATGCATCCCATTGCAAATCTCGCTTCATCCTCTCCGAAGTTTCCAACTTTTGAATAAATTGACGAATTGTGATTACTTCACAAGTTGAAATTCTATTGCGTGTTGGTTGGTCAGCATCAACAGACATCAAAGGCAGAGCACTTTAACAGTCACGTCACAGAATCAAATGAGCTCTGTACTGGGAAGGAGATTCCTTATAAGCTGCTCCACGCGTCACTGCCCGAGAAAGAATTAAAGAGAGGACTTAGTGTAAAGAGACCCTGTGAAAAGTTGCCCCGAAGAAACCCCGAACAATTTGTGAAGAGAACTGGTGAGAACTATTTTGGAGGAGAGAAACAGTGCGAAGGAGAAAAGTGTGCGGAAATAGTGTCAGAGGAAGTAGAGTGCGAACAATTGTGTGGAAGAACTGTTGGGAAGATCGTGAGGAGGAGAACTATTGTGTGGAGTGTGTGGAGGATTTTTTGGGAGAAGAACGTCCGAAGAGAACGAGGAAAGAGAAGCAAGGAAGGAGGATCAACCCCGAGGAAAACCGAGAGGATTTTGAGGACACCATTCCCCGTGCGTGCCCATTTTTTATGCCCTGCCCCAACGAATTTCCCTGCCCGTGTTAATTTCCCCACAACGGTGAGCCTCCAGTCAATTCATGTTAGTTGGAAATGAAGCCCCCTATTAATGATTACCTTTTCAGTTGGCGCCACTCACTTCTCCCCCTTTCTCCAGAGTTCGAGTCACCCCCTCTTTTTATGTTATACTATTGCGCGTAGCCGCAAGTGAGCCTTACCCCCCCACCATCGAGTTAATTAGTCAAAAGGCCTGGATTATTTTTTTGTATTAACATCGGTGTATTATGGAAACTAGAATATATCAAAAATCAATCTACCTAAATTCCCCCGAGTAATTATTGAGACCTCCCCCCCTACCGTTTATTATTTGAGGTCCCCTTAAATTAGTTAGATTACTCGATTTTGCCCCTAATTTGATTTTCCCGGATATATCGTGTCTTCTCCGAGAATTAATATATTTTAAATTCCCGGCCAAGGTCACAGTATGTGCTATTTTTATTTCATTGATTTTTTTTGATTGCTTACCTGTATCTCTCATCAGTTGCATCTTTTTCGATCCGAATGTGATTTCACCCATCCGTTTTTATAATTTTTACATTTTCCGAAAATTCGTTTTTTTTTACGATAGCTCAAAAAAAATCATCTGAACCAATTGAATCACGGCTTAAAAAATGTGTCCTGATGTGCTCTTAACCGAGTTCCAAGATGAAGCTGACAGCAATAATAATTTTTTTAATCTCTGTGAAATTACATTTTTTAAAAAATATTTCGATGATTTCTTCGCCTATCAGTCAGGTGATACATACAATGGTGCTTGAAAAAGTTGATTGAAGTTTATCATTTTAGAGCGATAAAAAATTGGACACTCTTATCGATGACGCGTTGAGGTAAAAAAAAACAAAGGCAAAAGAACATTCCGAATGAGGGTTTGAAAAGAATAGTTCTCACTTAGTCATCCTTATAGGAGAAAAATCTGATGATTACCTTCTTGTCTCTTGTTGAAATAGATTCCCGAGACATGAATTCGCTGCTCTAAGTTAGTTATTTTGGATTAATTCTAAATTTATTATAGCCGAGTATATCGGTAAGATATTAATTTCTTGTATTGAAGAGCACATGGATTTAAAGATAAGTGGGGTTATTAAATTAATAATTAGACGTAGCATTGATACAACAAACTGTCAAGATTATCAGAAAAAGAAAACTATCATCATAAAAGAGAAATGCTAATTTCAGAGGAGAGGTTTGAAGGAACGAAAAGAATGGATACCGATGGAATGCAAATGGTAAATTAGAGGTTTTAGTTATTCGTAACACTACTCCCTTCATTGAAAAACAGATTGCCGTCTCGACAATCAAATAAACTTGTATTATGAGCAACTGAAATATCAGTTTTAAGGAAAAATTGATAAATTTGTGGGGATTAACCATTGGACCAAGCTCGGACCAAGACTAACCTAGCTTGGCTCAAGCTGGGAGTTCAAGATTGTACCAACCTTGGTTATTCCGTGGTTTGTAACGCTAGTTCAAGCTTGGACGTCGAGCCCGATCCGAGGTTGAGCCAAGATGCTAAAATGAAGGTAGTCCAGACCTGGGCCAAACTTGGACCAACCTTGATTCAAACTTGAACGTAAAATCCAAGCCGAGCCCGGGATCTCATCTTTAACCAATCCTTCAACTTATCTAGCAATTATTGATAAAAATAGAGGCAAAAATGAAATAATTAGTTTCTTATTCTACATACAAGTCAATTTTGCCTCTATTTATCATTCCCTGATAAATTGGTCCGTGAAAAAACCTAATTAATTAACTTAAAAATTGACCGCCGCAACCGAGATTCGAACGCATCACCCTAACGTTATGAAACCTACACCTTATCACTGAGCTGACACGCACTTATAAATTCCAATTCTTGATTGTGCTTATAAACTCAATGTCAACTTTATAGGAATACTGTTGTTGAATTACGTTATATGTATTTAATGTAACTAACATCAGTAACTATTTACT